ATCCACCAGACTACATGTACATATCACAGTAGTTTTCATGTGCAAAGTTAGAATATCATCCCCTTTAACGGCGATGCCAAAATACATAACATCGCTTCTGGCCCTAATGACAGGTACTTCAATAATTTCGGCGATTTCCTATTATTGTAATCTCTTCTTTTTTAAGCAAATAAACCACTGGTAGGCCTTGCCAGACCATCATTGTTCAGTCTTTATACATTCTCCTTTAACAATTGTTTTCTATAGATTGTTCTTAGTGTAGAACTAGTCTACTCTTATCGCCTTTTGAGTGTCAATTTATTGCAGTGTTAATTAATATCACAGTGATAAAACTATACGTTTAAAATATCATATATTATGCTGCTCAAAGTGTTTAGCAACACCTAGCTTGTTCAGAGGCGTGCCACTTTCATTCAAAATTCCCCAGTATGTACATTGAGTTATGCATGTTACCCCATGGAACCTAACCTATGGCCACTGCCTTGGCCCAACCCACCTTTTTCCTCTACCCTAAAGTGCATAATAATCAGGTATAATATTTAATTCCACGGTTAAATATGCACTCCTATATCTCTTTTCTCTTGACCGTATATGGTAAAGGGGCATTAAAATCTACTACTTAATATCATTGTCATTGTACTTTCTTTTCCATACTTATTTTACAAAATAACTTGCAGCCTCACCAGTAATGCAGTTTGAAGCAATGTCACAAAAAAAGTGATCATTGCATTGCTCCATGCTTGTTTCTAGATATCATTTAATTACTAGTAAAATGGTTTAAATCTCTAGAATTGAAAGTAGAAAATTGAAAAAAGTTGATATCGAAATAAGTACGCCTAGCGCTTAATTAAGTACTCCTTTCAAACTCTGCAAGAAGTAACTTATCTGATAAATATATATTATGTACATACATTTAGGCTAAAGTGACATTTTTCTTATGCACATGGGTGAGATTACTTGCATGCAATCTGATGCACACATTACAGATAGTACCCAGTGACATACGAGACATTTCATGAAAACTTTTACTTTCAAACTAGTCTGGAGATAAGCCACCTTGCATAACGCATCTCCACAATCTTTTACTTGTAAACGACCTCCCGGCCACTGTGCACTTGTGTCTCACTTTTTATTGCTCTAACGGTTCAGATATTAATTGAAGGCTCACGGGTGGTCCACTGTAAGGCTGAAAAAAATTAATTAGATTATCAATGTGTTTTGCTGGACCTTGAAAAGTTTTGCGTTTCTGTTATTGGACGCTTAGGGCTGAGCATGCTTTATGGGCCTTAGATTTACGAATGAACTGGCCTGTTATTGAAGCAATTAACCCAGAGAGTAACAAAGTGTCTAAATGGAAGTGATGATGTCTGTTCAGGTAATCTTATTTAGCTGTGTGCACTACAAGGAATTAAACTGCTTGAAAATGTTTTTAGGTTACACCAGAGTTTATACTGATATCCACTGGTTATAAATAAATCATCACATAAAACAATTTGCACAGTTCCCGTAGCTACAACTACACATTTATTGATGAAAGTGACCAGCAAGAATAAGGGGCCTGTAACTAAATGAAAACTCAGTTGCACGCACTGTAATCCCAATGTAATTGTAATTCTCGTGTATTTACCATCATGTCAGACATGTCTCAGGTACATGGATTCACACCTATGCTATAACAAATAGCACCTGGCAAGTCATACCAGATATTCAATGTTTCTCAACATTACATAAATATTGGCTTTTCTGTTCCATTTCTGTACCCTCAAAAACAAACACTGAACCTGTTTAAGACTTCCGAGACCTTCTTTTCCACGTAACAGTTACAATAAATAAATACTGTTGGCCCCGAAGGCAGTTCCTGTCAAACTGACTGAAAAAACTTCTCACCTACTGTAACGTGAAACACATGAAACTTTATTATCTTTAACAATTTCCAGGCCAGCAATTTTAAATCTGACATTATCTAAGCTTGCCAAAATTACATGACCAGCACTGATAAACTACTGATAAACTAACAAAGAAATACCCGAAAAGGTACTGTAAATAAAACATTATTTAATAATTAATAATTCTTCTTTGAAATCAAGGTGAATAGTGGCGCCAGAGAGCGGCAAGGTAAAGATTCTGCCACTCTTCACCGAGATTGACAACAAAAGTTGTTTTAGTATATACAGACAAAGTGATCTCAAACACAGACGAAAAGGAAACCATTAGAAGTCGATTTCATTGACCTCTCAATTCATGCGTAGAGAATGTGCAAGTGGCACAAAACATGCGCAAAACTATCTACAGAATTTTCCAACATGACAAATCTAGCTAACTTTTGATAAAATCACCATCGCAATCTAGGACAATGCTCTTTTAACACCGTTCAAAATCAGCAATCTTTATTGAAAGTCTGCTTGCAAAACAAATACGCCTTTCAGTCAAAGTTTTCAGTTTCACATGAAATGAACATTGAAAGAGTAGTTGGCGAGGGATCAACCTGAATTCATACCATGTGCACAGGATTTTGGTGAAAACTAAATGTTTACCTTCACAAAGACGTGCAAGTGCTTCCTTGAATAGCAATTGATACTTCTGCCGATGAACCCTACGATAGTCATTTCTGCCAATGCCGGATGAAAAGTGACTTGGTGGTTGATGAAATCTGTGATTGCCAAGAAAATGTCCTTAAACTGCTCGAAAGTCAAACGTTGGCAACTCTTTTCTATCCTTTAAAAACTTTCAGACCAAATTTCATAGCCTTTGTATTTTCAGGTACATCATTTTCTTGTATTGTTAGGATTTCAGAGTCAGAAACACTGCCAAAATGCAAGTTTAAGCCATGTTGTTTTTGCTTGGATTAAGCATTTTTCACTCTGTAGGGAGTAAATAGTGCACATTATTAAAACCTGGATCTTTGGATAATGGAATTTGAGAGCTTTCATTGGTTTGGCCATCACAGATTTATGAGCCATGATACCATTAGTCTAGTTTCCTTGTTGGATATGAGATGATTATATCCAGCTCATATCCAACGTGCCCTCGTGGAATAATTGTTGATTAGCCCGAGATAGGGAACTAATTAGATGGCTTGAAACACCAATATCACTGAGTGTGTATATACTAATGTTTCAAAACTAAATGATCTCATCACTTCAAAACTAATACCTGAGTGTTACAGAAAAAGTCCCTTGGAGGAGGAATCTCCATTATCCACCTAAATGTGTAAACCAAATCACAATTACGTATGATAACAAACTTAAAACATCTCTCATCACTTGAAAAGAAACTTCAAATTTTGAAGCAAAATTGTTTCCATTTTGGACTTAAGCACCTTTCACAAAAACTAACTTGAAACTCAGCTACACAATGCCTAACAAAACTTAGGGCCTTCTACAACTTCTCATCCAAAAAATGTAGATTGCAGGGTCAATTTGAGGTCACTCATTTGCTTCCTTGTTATTTTTTGGAAACTTAATATGACCAAATTATGACAAAGTAGACAAGCTTAAAAATGATATTCATGTCAGAATAGTTTGTTCCACACTACCAAACCACTGTGTATTTCCATAAGAGAAAAAACTTTGTATAACAACCCAGTATAATATTCCCAAAAGCCTACTTGACAAATAAGACAAAAATCGTTTACCTGTCATTGTTGTCTTCTACTATGGGTGTACCCTGATAACAGAATAAAATACGCTTTTTCAGTACATTGGACAGAAAGGTCTTAGGAATCCTTGTTTTAGTTCTATTGCTTTGTGTTTGATTTGTAAATAGGGGCGGTCGGCTTCAAGCTCATAAGCAGTCTCCACCATACGATGTGCTAGTTTAAGGGCTTCCAGCCCAGCTTATTGGCAGATATGTTAGAAAATGAACATTATATCCAATTTAAAACAAATTTTCTCATAATTTACAATGCTTTAATTTTCAATCTTTTCTTAAAACTGTTCAAATTTTTTTTTTTGGTGACAAAAACACTCATATTATGCAGCCCAGGTTCGAGCTCCATCATGTTTAAGACAGCTGTTCCCTTTACAGCAAGAATCCCAAAAGTGTGACCATTTTTACTTAAATCACATTCTTGTATGCAGGTCATCCAATCACACGTCAAGCGCTACTTTAAGAAAAACAACTCGAGACTGCAAGCGATCCTGCAGATAACATAAAGTAGCATAGCCTTTCAATCAATCAATCAATCAATCAATCAATCAATCAATCAATCATCAGTCTATCCATCCATCCATCCATCCATCAATGAAACTTTATTTATAGAGGGTGACCACCTAATAGTTACACAACTAATTTAAGTATGCAATAATAATAAATCTATTAAAAGCCTATACATGTAAAAATATCAAAATATTTGTTGTCAATGATTTAAAAAGGGATGATTTGGATGTCTAGATTAAAATACTGTAACCTTCTTAAACATAAAAAATTGCGTTAAAAATGGTGTCAAGATGTAAACAAGGCCAAACCATTCCCAGATTGAATTCTGTCTGGGTCTTCCATTTTGGAATAACTATCTGCTCCAAAAGTTGTGATGTTCTTTGTCAAAGGATACCCCAGGCATTTGAATATCACTTATAAAAAGAAGACAAAGCGATCTTTGAGAAATCCGAGACACAATTTTAAAGGCCATTGTGTGACATATAATTTCTGATAGTAATCCCATTGCTGGGACTGTCAACACATCTAAAAGAAATTGCTAAAGATGANTGAGAAATCCGAGACACAATTTTAAAGGCCATTGTGTGACATATAATTTCTGATAGTAATCCCATTGCTGGGACTGTCAACACATCTAAAAGAAATTGCTAAAGATGAAAGCATAACTATTACTTCATTATGCAAAATTTCTAACAAACCCCTCATTTTATTTTTCAAACAACATTTGAATCCTCCTTTCAAGGTGATGTTGCATGAACTGAATTTTAATTTTAAATGCAACATTGCATTAAAAATCAATGTGGCATAACACAGTACACGGGGGAACTTTAAACTCAACAGTAGTTAATTTCTTGTTGTGACAAAATTTTGCATGTTTTTGAAAGCAATTCAAAAACCTGACCTTAACCTTACATTGTTGTCCAAATTTACAATGTTGCATCAAAAATCGTTCTGTGTAATATACGGTTGCTGACTATTGCCACGACAAAGTTGTGTTAAAAGTTATCTTCCTGAAAAGCCCCATTGGGGAGGTTCAATAAGTATTCATTCATTTATCTTGTGTAACATGGATTATAATCAGCATTAAAAGTCAGCAAGGTTGGCTCACGTAACATCACCTGTATCAAGCTTTCAGGAAATGTATACTTTATGGGGGTTTATTTTCAAAGCTGCCCCCATGAAAACATGCTAATTTGAAGCAGTCAATTGTAGTATAAAAACACCTTAAGTACAAAACCCAAATGAAATTTGAAGTTGTTGTTATTCATTGAAAGAGGTGGAAAAATGAGTGCAAAGAATACATACTGTTTCATATCGGTCAGTGTAAAACGCAGACTGCACACTGTAGACTGGGGGTAAAATGCAGACTGAGGGTAAAATTCAGACTGAAGACTGCAGACCAGGGGTAAAATGCAGACTAAGGGTAACATAAAATATTAATAATAAAAAACACGAGGATCAAATCCAGATCAAATGAATACTTGGGAGTGTTCGTACACGTACCCGTAATTTTTTTCTAAAATCCTGAAAACTCAAACCAAAAGGTGTTTCCTAGCCTTAGTGAAACATCATATTATCAACTTTGAGTTATTGAACTCCCCATTTTGTTTAACCAAGTTTCCCACAAGGGCCCAAACTAATTATAATTCTATGCATCTTACCTTTGTTAACGTGTTTACCATTTTGAATTTTTTTTACGTAATTTGGTATGGGACCAACCAACTCTTGCAGTGCACTTCCTTCATCCTGTTTTCATTGACAAAGTCTTAATAACATTCAAACCACCGCATGTCTTAGTTGCTTCGAATGGCTTTGGAATTGTTCGGAACACAAGACAAGCAAAACACGACAGCACAACAACAGGGCAAGCTAAACTGATGTGACATTTAACGGGTACGAACACTCTTTATTTTATCCTTATGACTAGTTTTTTATTATCAATATTTTATTTTACTCTCAGTCTGCATTTTACCCCTCGCCTGCAGTCTGCGTTTTATAATGACCTATTTTATAAGCAAAAAACTTGATAACCAGAAAAAATTTAGGACTGTTACCTGGTATGCTGGAGGATCACATTCCTGATAGTATGTACAATCTCGTCCCTGTTTAAAATCAGCAATAAATTCAGAATCAGTCTTCCACAATATCACACTGCTTCACCACCATCTCATTAATAACATCACATGGTTATTAAAACCACTTCCTATAGAGTGAACAACCCAGTAAATATGGCTACCCCCAATACCTATGGGCCATTGTTGGCCAGATGTATGGACTGTTCATTGGATAAATGGACAAACCCCTTACAGTGAAATATGCAGCACATCCTATAAGTAATTACTAAAACATCGTATGCAGTTTGGTAATCCAACAGTGTCACAACATCTGCTTACAAATTCATTACTCAGCTGCATAATGACACAGAACAGTGAAACTAGTTCCTTTATGATAGAGTGGTATTTTAATTTTGCTAATTTTTGTGTTGAAAATATTCCCTCAAGCATTTCTTCTTCAATATTTGATAAGCCTGGAAAATATAAGTTTTTTTAGGTTACTTATAATAACAATAACAATAACAATAACAATAACAAAGTGTAAATTCTGGGAGAAACGTATACTCAGAAAAAATCCTACTCCGATTTTTTTCCGAGTATATGTTTCTCCCAGAATTTTCACTTAATAACGATAATGATAATAACAATCAACTTTATTTACAGGGTTCGTACCCTTTTTCAAAAGCAAATTTCCAGGACTTTTCCAGGACTCAGATTGATTTTTCCAGGACTCTAAAATTCACATTAACCCTTTCACTCCCAAGATCTCAATTCTAATTCTCCTTACTGTCTGTCATACATTTCAAATTTTTTCCTTGAGTTTAACAGATTTCCAGAACTTTCCAGGACCAGTAGCCTTTTTCCAGGACTTTCCAGTCCTAGAAAAATGCCACAACAAAATTCCAGGACTTTCCAGGTTTTCCAGGACCCGTACAAACCCTGTATTTATTGAGGGTGACACAAAACAGTAATCTCCTCTTTGTTGAATGTAATGGTCTGAAATAAATAGTATATAGATAACAGTATTACAATGTGGTGGACTTACTTTGTCTTGTGCATAAGGAGGACCCAGGATGTCAACAAATGCTGATGGTCCTAGACTGAAGCAAATAAAGAACCATTATCCCACTACTGGCGGTCAGTACGAGGTGACATTAACATGATAACATCAACTGGCTTTCAACAGATCTTGCCTACATCACTCAGTCATAATGTGAAAATTATGAGAAGAGACCATCCTTCCAGCTTGGGTCAAACTTCTGTGATGCTTTAACAGAAAACTCAATAATTTATAATGCAAACGAAGGGTCAGTTAGAGCAAAGAAAATAACTTAATGTGGGGATGCAGAGAAAACAGCAGCAACTAACATTTTCACAGTTTACACGATTTGCAATTATTCCAGTTCATATTGATTAGTACCTAATGTTGTGAATAGCATGGTGGTTGCCTGCAGTTGGTGTTAGCACACAGCTCTGACTGGTTTCCTCAAAAGACTGTGTGGTTTTTCTGCACTTGATCAGCCTCCCTAGCAAAATCAGACTAACTGGTTACTACAGGTACAACTCTTTGTATCAGGTATTATGACCTCACTGTTTCACAAGAAACCACACACTTGTCTTCACCCTAATTTTGACAGATTTGTGCCCAGTGGTTAAACATTAGGTTTAGTTGGCATCTTGGTAAATGGAGCATTTAAAATCTACAACACTTGCGCAAGACCTCAAGAGGACATTAGCTATTGCACCTCCATGCTGGGTAGGAATATGTTTTATTACATGGCCAGCTCTGTGAGCTGGCAAGATGAATCAAAACCTGCACTGTGATTGGCTACCTGAGCAGGCAAGATGGAGCTATCTTGCCTGCTCAGGACTACCTGCCATGTCCCGCAATAAAAATTTCCCCGAAAACCATATAATAAATCCTTCATTGACCAAGATACATTTGTACATGGAACAAAAATTACAATCCACACATATAGAGAGTTACACTACAATAACTTCACTACATAGAATGGTACAAACATTTTTTTGTCAATACTCTTAAAGTAAAGGTACTCCCCAAGAGTGCCAATTGGCAAACAACATCATAACTTTGTGAATATTTGATAGATTTCTATGAATTTTTGCCACGAAAATTGCCTTGTGAAGATCTATCCATTGAAGTCTTAAAATTGTGACCCCCTCCTATCAAAGACATAATTGACCACCCTCACAAGTCTTTAGTTCTTTTTTTGGGTTGCAAACTGAATGCAAGACTTGTTTCATATGAAGCCATGCACTAAGAGCTGCTAAATAAGCTATAGTTTAGGGATATACCTATTATAGCAGAAGGTTGATACATTTTTGAAGTTGTTCATTTTCACCTGTTGAAGCAATTTCTCACAAAATGTCTCCCTCCTTCAGAGCTGCCAATGTCAATTCTTAAATAAGCTGATCAGTGGCTTTCAAATGGTATATTGTGCACAGGCAGACTGTCTCTATTTCCCGATTTGGGAAAAACTGCCGTTTGCCTTGGGGTAAAGGGTATGTTGCTAAACAGCACTTACGTCTACGACCATGCAGAGGGTGCCTGGAGAACCCATCTGTTCTCCCATTCAATGAGGTCCTGTAACAAAACAGGAAAGAAGTTACTATTCTTCACTGCTTACTTAAAAACCAAATGACACAATCACTTACACTAACAAGATCAAATTTTCGAAATCAAAACACTGTTGATATACCTACAATGAAATAATCAAAACAGCAAGATACTTACTCAGACTGTCTTTGATACGACTCAACTGATATTTTACCATAAACAACTTTACTGAAAATTAACATGAAAGCAAAACCTGATTAACAACAAGTATTAAAAAGTTGAAGGGGTCAGTCAGTAGCAATGACACCTATGATACCAGCGCAGTGCTATATTTCTTTTACCGCCCACCTTCAAGGGTATCTGTCTGCGAAACATTTGCATGCCACCAGTTTCAATTAAACTCCAGCAAACTATTAATCAGTAAAAAAATTAATATATAAATGAAGTTTATAACAAAAATATAATTTTAATTAGCAACCCTAACCCTAACCCTAACCCTAACCCTAAACCCAAGAGAAAATGAGGGGACAGAGAGGGAGGCTCCCAGTCCAAGCCTTGGGATATGTCAATTTGCTTTGCTTTAGCGATTGCTGAAAACGGTGGGAGTGCATTTCCTTTTACATCTGCATGACACCATTCTTTAGATGATCAGGCAATTTAGAAATGGCGGTCCACAGGGAAATACGCTTTGTTGATAGAAGCGCCTTTTACAGGTACATTAGAGAAAGTTGGTATTTCTGGATTTGTACATCAAAGTAGAAGAAATAGTTTCACAACTCCTTGGGAATAAAATGGCACATGCAGACGGGCGGAAATTCATTTCTGATTGGTCAACAAAAACAACAAAATGTTCTGGCAGGACATGTTTTTAAAGGTCATTGCTGCTGTTATCAACTAAGTACTGTGGCTTTTTTCAAATGGAGTTTACAAGCCGATGAACTTCAACATCGATATTGGCAATGACAATGAGATTTTCTCCTCACACTGAAGAGAGAAAGCTTACATTAGTGCAAATTAACTGAAGGTGAACAAAACATGGCATGAACATTTTCAAAGGAAGATGATGTTGTGGTATAGTATTCAAATTGATTTCTGTTGCTAATCGCTAGGCTTCGAGTTGTTTTGGTTCCTGGATTCAAAATATTTTAGCTACCCTCCAAATTGTTTTGCGCTCAGCCAGAATTACTCCTGTTGCTGTGTGGAGAGCAATTTTGTCACTGGATTCAAAAATAGTTTTGCCGTGGGAATCAAAATAGTTTTCTTTGTGGCTAAGATTTCTTTTGTCGATGCGTTTAGAGGTTTCACGATCGCTACAGATTGAAACAGTTTTTCATGTTATGTTACAATATCAAACAATATGATACTTCTCTGCATGTTGTTATACAAATGAAAGCAAATAAATTCTTTCTTGATGTCATGGCTGATTTCTTTGATTCAAATTCTCAGGGGACAAACTTTGATATTTCTTCCAGCCAGGGTTTTTATTCCAAAGAGGTTGTGGTTCTTTAGGTGCTTCTCCTGACAAAACAAATTTCCTCACAGAACGCCCTTTCAAAATTCCCAGATTGATGGATGAAAGGTATCATGCGGACATCTGGGGAAATAGTGTCTGGGGAAATAGACTTCTGTTTCCGTCTAAAACTAAAAGTAACTTTAGTGGAATCGACATATCCCAGCCAATGCCCTCAATGTCCCTTTCTGTTCCCTCATTTTCTCTTGTTCCTGACACAATGGGCAACAAAAGTGTTGAGACAGAGACACTTTGCAGTAAAATTGGATTTTTGAGTGTGTTGAAAACATTTCCCCCTCCCCTCTGGAAAATGTTGATTTTTCTATTTCTTAAACTGCACAGACCACAGTGCCTACACAACATGTATGACCTGTTCATTAGGCAAAGATTCCATAATATTTTACTTACCACAAACCAAACATTCCGGGATGATCATGAAGTGGAATTGAACTTCCCTTTTTTAATATAAATACTCCCAAAGAAAAGAATGGACACTCAAATATCGACACATGAGTAGCAGGTGCTCCCGTGTAGCTTCCATTACTCTGCTCTATATGATTTGGAACAGCAAGCTTTATGTCCTCTGCTGTGATTGAATCAAGCTTAAAGAGAAAAAAAAACATATCTCTTGTATTACATAAACTGTTTGCTACTGTTCAGAATAGAACTTTAAGCCCATTATTATAGTGCTTTCCATGAAACTAATGAGCACTTATTAATCAACTTCTACCATACTTAATATTTTTCATGTTTGTGAGCCAATAAAGATTATTGTGATTGTTATTGTTATTGCTATTATAGCACTACAGTTTACAGTATTTGAGCCTGGCTTAAATTACAGCTACATGTACACTAAACCGCTATCTTATCATTATTACTGGAATTACCTGGGGGTTGGGTTGATAGATTACAGATAAGTAACTCAATAAATCACCCTCAAGAAAGGTTAACCACTAATAAATGTTAGATTCTGTGGACAAATACCAGAGAATGTGACCTTCCACCCACACCTGGGGCGTTCAATTAGATAGCAAATTATGTTGGAAGGAAGGTACGGAATCAGTGGTCAAGGGTGCCAGCAAGATTCTCAGACAAATATGGTGGAATTTTTTTCATTTTGTAACATGAAAGTTAACATGACTGTATAAAGCAAACATTCCTGATCTGTTGGCATTTTAATACTGAAAGAATTCAGAATTTCTGTATGAAGAAATTATGTGAACGATCTTATCAACCTGGTTCAGATAGCTTTTAGCCAGCCGAGCATTTTAAAATCGATCCTGTCTATAACTGAAACAAATATTTATAATAAAACAAACATTACATTAAGTTCCGGGTAGTATGAAAACATGAAATAAACATGTGTGCATTTGAGTTGCTTGATAGCTGCTTTCAAGGCACATAACAATCATATTTCTAATCAAAACCTTTTGAAAACTGCTCAAAATTCTGCAAGTTTCTTCAAAAACAATATTTTTGCACATTTGGTAATAGCTGTGCCTGATTATACAGTCAAACCTCCCGTAAGCGACCACCCAAAATGTCAAGCCTATGTGTTTGCTTATGGGAGGTGGTGGCTTACGAGAGCTTAGCACTGCATATTGGGTCAAAATGTCGCCTCATTAGCATATGGTAATTTTAACACATTTAGGTCTTCTCTTCTAAGACTGATAGAGTACAGTGTATGTGCATTTTATCTTTAAATTTTCAATGTTTTATTCATGTGAAAAATGAATTTTGAGAAAAAATTGGGTACTACCCAGAAATGCAATAATGTTACAAGACCTTATTATCCAATTTTTGCACTGTTATCTGTCAAGTGGTCACTTACGGAAGGTTAAAAACAAAAAAAAATTCAAAACTTTCAGCTCTAAAAGTGGTCGCGGTCGCTTACGAGAGGTGGTCACTTGCAATAGGCTCCAAATATAGTGATTTGACTGGGAAACAGTTGGTATCTTGGAAGTCGCTGAGGAGAGGTGGTTGCTTACGAGAGGTGGTCACAACCGGAGGTTCCACTGTATGTGACAAAAGAATAGAAAACCTTTTCTACTCAGAGAGTTGTATCACTTTGAAGAGTGTGGGAAAACGAGTCTGCAATGTCCCACGTGACGTCAGCGGTTAGAGATCATAGTCATTTGTAATGCTATGTAACGATATATTTCTGCCAGTAAATTTTTTTCACTCCAATAGTGATATTAAATTAAACAGAACCAATTTTAAACACTCAGTAAAAGTAGTTATTTTCAATTAAAACTCCGGTTTTAAAGGTGAAAATCGATCAAAAGAACCTGGACAAATCTCGAGGTGTTTTTGGCCTCACTTTGTGAGATTCCTCCAAAAAGTCACAGACTATGTTACCCACCTGTTGACATTACAGTTACTAGCTTTTAGCAGCCAGTAACAACAAAAACGAAACGAAGATCATTCCAAACATAGCAAGGAAGATCATTTAAATTTGTATCAAAAACACCCATTTACTGATCACTAGAATGAAAATTAGTCAACAATTCACCAATTTACCAAATTCTAACAAAATGATCATGTCACATGTCACATGATCAAAATAATATGTTAAGGCAGGGTACGATGCCAAGATTTATAATAATGAAAATTTCAGCTTGGGGAAACAAATATAACAAGAGATATAGCTGCCCAACCATATCCTGGCCCAAGCCTTAAACCAGTTGAGTTGTAATGAGAAATAAATTACCTATGCACTTGTAGGTATGAATGTAAATAACTATTTGCAGTTCTCCATGGAAACATAAACCTGGAACAGCCTTGTATTTAAATTCCAGATGCCCTTTAGCTGTGAAACCAGTATTAAATTTTCCTCTTCAAGGAACTGCAACCAGCTCCCAGCTGATGTAACTACATTTCTATGAGGGTCCACAATAGGGTTCTCAGATCCCCCTTTCCCACCCATTTTTCCCGTTAATTCTGCTATCCTGCCCCTTTTAGCCTGGATATCCCAATCCTGCCCATTTTGAAAAGACATTTCTGAGTTAATTATTAATTTCTTAAAGTAATAATTAATTTAATTATTAACACAGAAACTTTTTAAAAATAGATATCCCTTAAAAAGATGACAAAATAATTCAATGGCTAGTAGATAAGTAAGCACAAATGATTATAACGTTTCTCTCTGTAAACGGTTTACTGGTTTGTTTTCTTTTGTCCATGTATCAGTGAAAGAAAAAGATTGCTCTTTTCCATATTCAAGAGATGGCCTGTAAACACACTTGACAGTTTCTTTCAAAGCTTTCAGCATCTTCACTTCCTTGAAAGTTGGCCTCAGAACTTTTCTTTCTGAATGAAGGCATTCCTGCTCACTCATCCTTTTCGTAATATATGGTGATGCAATTCGTAATGACACATACTTTGTTTGGTAAATCACTGTCATCACCATCCGGTGTGGCCATACTGACCAAAACAAGCCAAATACTCTGGAAAAGGTCGAAAGACTAGAAAAACTAGAAAGGATCAGGGGGCAAGATTGCAGACGCAACGTCAAAAATGTTGGAAATGGACAAATGTCATTGATGTCAGAGGTCAACACAAATGATTGCAATCAGTCAATAGGAATAGGACTCAAAGACCTCATAGAGTCTCATGATACTAACGTAGTCAAGTGATAATGGATACGTTTGACAGAACCTGACAGGGTACAGAGCCACTGCTATTCATTACTTGAAACCTGACACAGCTATATGCACAAAAGGTTTGTTTCTGCCAGCTTGTGGTTTTTGCACTGGTCAATAACAATTTATGCGGTCACGTAAGAATTGAAATCCCCTCTCACCCTCTGTTCCCCTTGTGAATCGCACATCCCAACAGTATAAAAACACGAAATCCCACTCCCGCTTGTAATTGTAAATCCCGCTTCCAGCCCGTTTTCAGCTCAAATACCAAATATCATGGCCCAAAAAAGTCAAATCCCACGTCCTGCCAAACCTATTGGGGACCCTCTTCTATTGCTGGTGATGTGCAAAAAGAAAATGACAGCTGTTATGAATTAAATTACGCATTTCCCCTGTACAACATTGCAGTATTTTTCTTCTTCCGATTATCTATTCGATTAGTTTTAATCGCATACAGTGAGTATGATGCCTCACTGGCTCTATAATGACTCAATGAAAGTGTCAATACGCTTCTCTACCTTTACAACTAATGAGTCATATCAACGTGAATTAAGCAGAGTTAATGTAGATAAAATATATGACGACACAAATAAACTAAGCTTATACCGTATAAAAGAGTTTATAATTTTCTGTGCATAATGTTTACAACTCGTCCGTAATCATTCACTTTTCCGCTTATGTCAAAAATGGATGCCCGATCTAAATTTGTCAGTCGCAGACGTAAAAGAGACGAAAAAAGATAACAGAAAACTAAACACTACAAAAAACACCTGAACAAAAGTTGACAGTCTACCAAAGGATTCATTTAGAGTGTTACTGTTACGCTTCAAACCAATTTTTACCGGCGAAAGTCATGCACACAATCGCATGTGGGTCTTGCGTGCATCTGAACATGTACCGCTATTAGTGCCCTTAGAGGACCTCAAAATGTATCTGAGAATTTAAAACTGCTAACATTTGACTTACCATTGTTTTTAACCTTTCAAAGTTGGAAGAGAACGCCGCCGTTTCTCTTGTCATAAACGTCACTAACGCTTGTCTCGAAAGGCGTTGAATTCCTGCAGCCATGTTGCTTTTTTTACTGACGTCACCTTATTAGTTCCCAGTTCCCCGTGAGAGAGAGGAGCTGTTACTGGTCAGCAGTAAATAGCACAAAAGCATGTTAGAAATTTGGCGCGAACGCTTCCATTACATATCAGTGTAACTCCCCAGTGTCTTGCAGTTTAATTTGTGCTGTTGTTGTATCTTGTATTTGTAAGATGCTAAGTGAAGGAGCAATTCAGGTATGGTATTTTTGTGTTATATTTCTTTCAGCTTGTTTATATGGTAGTTATAAATTAAGCTCATTTCGTGCGCTGCAGCTTCGCAGCTTGATAGAGTGAATTTAAGTTTCGCGTGAACATTTCGATTTTGTTCTATTTTCAAACAGGACATTTTATCTAAACCTGCAGAACAGCATCCTCAGAAGCCTGTTTTTCAAATTTTGGTTGGTATATTCATACTTATTGCGTTCAGAGTTGAGTAAATCTCTTCAAAGTCATGGGTTTTGAACGGCATAAGTATTAAAATATTTGCTAAAACTTCTAGAATGAAAAATGTGACATGTGAAACCTAAAGCAAAGGCTATTTTAGCATGATAAGTTAACTCGGAATTCCCAGGTTCGAATTGTGCCAAGCGAAACCGTTGACATGTAGCTTCCATAACTGAATTAGAATCGTTTAACTTGCACGTTTTTGCACAATTAGCGGAGCGATTTTACAATACCGGGCCACTTATTAATTTAACTATTTAATTCACTCTATTGGGCAAAGACTATAAATAAGCTTATATATACAGACATATCTCTCAATGCTTCGAGAGAACGAAGCATATAGAAACAAAAGGAACCATGAGATGCAAACGATTGGCTAGTCCAATTAGCTGACTGATTGTTCCAAACTTCGATCAACATTATCACACTTGTTTTGCACGCACTTGTTTTGGACGACCGATCGAGCTGTACGACCTTCATGTTACGCATTACTTGTACATTCGTTTTAGTGACCACCATTTCTCCTGTTCACATGGTGAACAAATAAGTCACCGAATCTGTTTCGCAAAGTTCATTCTCATATAGTGTTCGATTCGTCCTTGGAATATCATAGAACGTTTTAATGATAAGCTTAAGTTGACTTTTAACGATAAACTTAAGTTGACATAGGAGATAGCCAAACGTTGAGTCTAGTTCGTAAATACTTGTGGAATGTTTTTTTTTTTACAAGGAATTCGAAAAATCTGTTTGGCAAAATTCATTCTGATGTAGTGTACAATTCGTCCTTGGTATATCATAGAACAAAACCCTTTTTAATGATAAGCTTAAGTTAACATAAGAGATGGCCAAACGTTGGGTCTAGTTAATAAATACTTGTTTGCGGTCTTGTTTATGGAACATTTTTTTTTTTTTTTCACAGGGAATTAAAAAAATCCAAACAAAAGGAAATGATGGAGCCGGAAATGACAGATACAGGTGTGTGTGAAGTGATTGATTGCTGTCAAATGGTCATTGCCTGCTGTTAGGTTTCCAGTAAGGCCTGGCTCAAACAATAGACAATTTTACAGTTGTTTGACCTGGCCTTTTTATGGCCTGAGGTTGTAGGTAACCTTGTTTTGATACAGACATCACTACTTTTGTTGTATAAATAAAGTTGTTCTTGTGTTGTCTGGTTTGCATTTAAAAGACAAAAGAGGAGAGGTTTGTATCAAAGCAAGGTCACCTCCTGCCTCACTTGCATTCACAAGCCAGGTAACTGAGCACACCGCAGTAAAATGGCCAATTATCTGCCAACTCTCATATTACTGGCCCTATACCCAGTTAGGGTTATGGTCAAAATCAATCTAGTGACGTAGGTGTGAGTTTTATGCCTTTGGGTCGTAAACTGTAAATCCCAGAGTACTCATGTATTATTCCTTTTCATGTACTGTATAGTATTCCGTTTCTTAAATTTATAGATATAGTATACAACTGTAGTTTAAAGACTCTCTGTCGACCGGCATGCATTGCGCATGTCATTGGAGGTTTTGTGGACCACAAAACCTTCAGTTTGTTGTTGTTGATCATTCAGCTCTTCTATCCTTTATAATCCAAGGCATCCATCTGGATTGTTCTACATTTATGGCCTTTAAAGACAAGATTCATTATAATTGCTCTAACATTGAGGAGAACATTTGCTCGCAAATTGTTAACTTTTCACATATTTGAGAAGCTAAAGAATGGCCAGTGTGTGATTTCGACCATGGCGACGAGGCAGGCCTGGATATCCTTGATCCATTAGATTATATTGTACTGTGTTTGATTTTGATGAATGGTGTAATGATTTACATTATCATTTGGATGATTGTAGTCAAAAATGAAAAACAAATTTGAGTTGTATAGTCAATATGTTATCTCTGTATCTCATTTATATCACACAGGCTTGTGCTCTCTGATGGAATCAATCTTTATACATGTACGTAGAAAAATAATTTATATATTTAGATGAGATAAGGCCATTTATCCCATGCCATAATGAATATTATTCCATTATTAGGCCATTGCACTCTATTAGGTCAGGAGAATGCACAGAATATTAATCATATTGCTTTGTAGACTTCTACTAACTATTTAGTTTTTGTCATTCACACATGCCTGATGCAATTGGTTTTTCAGATGATGCGGGACATAATTCAAAAAGTAGAAAATGATTAATACTAGAATACTAGAAAATGACATAACAGTGGAATGAAAAATCCTATATTTGATAGTTTAACATAAACTATATGTGCACATTTTTGCTATTGGTTATACTTACTCACCCCTTTGTGGTCTGGAAAAATACTATGCAACTTGTAAAATATGTGCACATATTATATGTTAAACCATTGAATAAGGTGTATTTTATACATGCAGACATGTCATTTTCACTACATTCCTGGTGTTTAGTGGACAGTTTTCTGTAGTTTGCATCTGTAAATATCAGTTGAAATATGATGTGATTTGAGGGTATGGATGAAACAGCTTTAAATTGCTTTTGACAGCTTTCAAGAATCTTTAAAGATGATTTCCAGTCCGTACTGCGCAGTTTCAGCACCCTTATGTTTATAAACATTATAAATCTCACTTGATGGAATGCAAATTGATGTTATTCGTTATGAACCACATACCTTATCATTGAGGCCTTTGAAATTCTTTTTCCAACAGCTTCATCGATTTTTACAGCTGCAAAGTTGTTTCATCAGGTGATATGAGAAAGAACAAAGCATAAAGCTTCAACCGCTTCGCATCCATAATGGCCATTGTTTTGAAACTTTGAATTTACTTCATATAAGTAGTTGCAAAATGTTTGTGATGTCTTACATAAAACAAAACAAAAACACAAACACACTTCCGAGAGTGCGCAGTACGGACTGGAAATCATCTTTAACTATGACATACACCTTGACAGTCCTTAAATGTCTTATGTTCAATTTGAAAATTAGACTTCAAAGCCTTGAAAGTCTGTGAAAAGTACGCTGGGTCCTTGAAAAAAATGGAGATTCATTGTTGGAGTGTCCACATTGTGAAAGAAGTGAAACGAAATTGAAGGAAAATGAGAAAATGCCTGTTTTTTCTAAAAATATAAACTTCTGCACTCTTCGAAGCATAATTTTGGAATTCTAGCTTCAAACTAGAAGGGGGGAGGGAATGTATCCCATGCATGCTTGTGTATGCAGCCTTTTATAAATATCAGTCTCCCACTAGGTGATGTATGTAACACTGCATAACCCACATGGGACATTGTGTCTTCATTTTTAGCGCATGGTGCACTATTGGGGTGGTTTAGGGGGCTGCTGTTCGGTCAGACACTAACATTATAACACAATAAGATGTAAACTTTAATGTTTGTTTAATTTCAGTTAATCAATTAGCTTTGTGGGAAGGGGGGCTGGGTGGGGTAGCTAAAAGGTGCCCATGTTTATTACACAAAATGTGTCATACTTACATTACTTTCTTTGATAACATGACAAAAATATATATATGGTTTTGCTAATCTCATGCTATCCTTGTGGTGCTATTCTCTTAAGAACAAAAGCAATTTGCTCCAAACGTATGCGCAGATTAGTTAGTGTCAAAAGTTGACTGTATGTTAGGTGAAAGATACATTTGATACGGGACTACCCATGAACGTTGAGTTCTTTTCCTTGTGGTAGAATGTAACATGTAAGACTCATGTGTTCTAGCATTGCTAGTGTGATAAACTCCGTTCTCGAGATCAGATGCGTATTTTGTTTTGTTTTTTGTAATAAGTGATACCACACTCTTGTTTTGGCTGGGGATAGCAGCTATATTTCAGGTAACGTCAGTTCTCCTTTCTTTGTTGCAAAGAATGGTACTGTGGCTTCGCATCTTCTGGATTCTTCCATAGCTTGATTCAAGAAATGTTGTCTGTTGTGTGTTTGCCAGGGTTCAAATAAAGAATGGAAAGATATTGCTTGTCCGTAGCAACTTGTTTGTTTCCTCTTCTCTGAAAGAGAGCCAAAAGTTCATATTCAGGAGAAACTTTCCCGCGTTAGTTACTTGTAAAACTAGTAAATTTGTGACAAAAGAAACTTCATTATTATTGGCAGATTCCGTGGCACTTACTGTAACTGCCAACTTTATCAGTCGATGAGGTGACTCGCTCACCTATGTGGGATATAATTTCGGTAAAGTAAAGATCTCTTCCTTCAATACTTCTTGTTGAAATGCTCCTCAGTTGTATTACTCGATAGCATTGTGTATTAGTTTGATGTGGTTTTATTGTTAACAACAAAGCTGGCAACAGAATTAGAACGCACTATTCTGTGACTCGATGTGACTATTTGATAATTAGATTAGTTTTTTTTTATTGGTGAAATGAAAATTTGCGTTTTACATGTAAATAAACAAAATCGTTCCTCTGACTTTTCAACAGATATTTAACTTTTATATTCCATTTATCTCCAGCATTGAGTAAAAAAAATAGACATCTTTCTTATATTTTAGTGGAAACGAAGGTATCTTGTTGCATACATTGGCGAGGAAAACCAAAGTATCAAATTACAAACGCTGGCATGAAAAGTAAAATTGTCAAATTTGCTACAAAAATGAACGAAACTCAACATAAAATACCATGATAAATTTAAAACCGTCTAGACAAACTGTAATTGTAAGTTATCTTTGGGCCTTGAAAGAAAACACAAACATGAAACATACACACTGCTAAGATTATGTCTTATCAAGTTTTTGTCCACTCATATTCTGCAAAGGGGAAAAGGCCTGGTTGACTACCAAGGGAGAGAACGGCATGGGTGAGGACCTGTGTGACTACTGTATCAGAGCCATAAATTACACTCTGCACTGTCTTAGATTGTCTCACTAGTTTCTTTTTATTCTTAGCTGCCATGCTTGGCACTCAACTCAATGACTTAGTAACATCAAATCAGATTGATGCCAAGGCTGTTGTTCAACTGGATAAGTATGTCTGTAACACCATTCAAGAAACAAGGTAATTAAGAGGGATTTCTTGCAACACATCTACTGAATGCTAGTTATACGGCAGGTTAACTTGTGCATAAATATGAAAAACTTAAGCCAAAAGCATCAGCGATATCAACTTGTACCTCAAAAAGCAGAGAAGGCTAAAGAACATCAAAGATAACATTCATGCTTAACAAAATTGCAAAATTCCTAACAGTCTTGTAATGTTATATATGTTATCTACATAACTTCAAGAAGACATTTTTCAGGTGTACCCAGTGAGTAAAAATCCTCCTCTCCTTCTACATGTAGTAGCCCTCAGCTTATATATTGAAACCATTGACTAGTAAATGAACTTGTTACTTGTTAGGAAAGTCTTGATAGTTTTGGAGGTCACAGTAATTAAACCTGGAAGTGAAGTGCCTGGAAGGATTGGAGATCCCAAGAACATAAATGAAAATTCTAGCAGTGGTCGCCAACCACAACGGAATGGTACAGGTGCTTCGCATTGTATGTCAGGTAAATAGTGATTAGCACTCAGTGAAAACACAAACTTATATTAAAGAAAATACAAGAAGCAATCTGTTTGCTGTGGACTGCTTACTGCTACTTTTTTCTTATAAATAAATTTATCAGTAATAGTTTAAAATAAAACGTAGTACTGTTTTCATTTTGATGTGAAGTTTATATGAAATAATTCATATATGAACTGCGGTTGTAGATGAAAGTAAAGAATGATCATNAGTTGAGTTCATATCTTCCCGTGAGGAGTGAAATGATGTTGAAGCCCTGATTTTTTCAGGCTTCTTCTTTCCAATTGCTTAAATTGGAAAATTAACTGCGATGATCATTCTTTACTTTCACTTTGTTTTCATTTTACTAGGCAGTATGATGATGAGTGGTGGACCAGTTGGTGGAGCCTCCAGAGGTGCAGGACTAGCTTCTGCAACGTATGGAAGGTACATCTAATGCAGATTGATCTTTCAAGTAAATAAGCCAAGGAACAGAACTCTTGGCTGCCCTCCAAAGCCCTTGAACTTCTCAAAGGTTTAATTAGCGGTGCTAGATCAGAGACAATAAATGTACCCATTACTGCCTTGTGGGAAGAACACTTAAGTGTAAGACGGCCAAAACGGTCGACGTAGTTACGACAGATATGAGTGTACGATTTACAAGTTTATTGACAAAAATAGCGGAGACAATAACAACAGGAACAAAATAAACGGAAACAAGTAACACTGAAATACAATAAACAAACTAAAATAAGCCTGATGCCAATAAAGAGTAAAGCAAAACAAAATAAGCTAACTTAGCTAAGAAATAACAAAGTAATTTGGTGTAAATAACAAGACAATTTCAATAGGAAGATTGCATGACAAAAATAAAGAAACAGGAAACTGTGTGACAAAAACTGTCAACAGTTGTAGAGTATTAGATGAAAT